ATTTTTTTAACTAACATTTTTTTATTATCGTCGGCTGTGGGCCCCTAACTGACGTGCCCCCCCCCCCCCCGGCACTGTAGTTCCGCCCCTGCTATCTATATATATATATCATCCTTATCTCTATATCATTTCTATATCTATATCTTAATCTCTCTCTCTCTCTCTCTCTCTCTCTCTCTCTCTCTCTCTCTATATATATATATATATATATATATATATAATCTACATCTTAATCTACATCATCGGCATCTATATCTCTATCTCTATATCTATATATATATATCCATCTCTCTTTCTCTCTCTCTCTCTGTATATATATATATATATATATATATATATATATATATATATATATATATATATATATATGTCACGCCGGAACAACTCTTTTACTTTCAAACTTTTGCGTCCTTAAAGAAACACGAAGTTACCGTACAGGGTGGTGTTAACAAAATACCAAGTCTGACGAATGTACACAAAGCTAATCTGACATTTCTGTGAGCCCAAATTTCTTTACGTGACGTCAAGAAACAAAAACAATAACTGACAGAAACCGGTCCATAAAGGGTTCACATTCTATACATCAGCATACAGAGGAGGTAAATACCACACTACGTAATACCCGAGGGTCAGTCCCGTGCACGGTGAGTCATGGGCCGCTAACGCACCCCCTCCCACACACAAGTAAACAACACAAATTGCTGATTATAAGTAAAGCAACGAGAAGAATGTGAAATTATAGGACGGAAGTTCTGATTACATTAACATTGAGGTAGCTTTAGTTAACTTGCAACTTTTTGTGGATTGTTTCTTATGTTATTGGAACTGTAGATACAGACATAGAGACGTTGACGTTTATATAAATAGTGGAGAGATTATGTTGTTGAGTAAATAATTACAGACTCAGAATAAAAGACCGTAAATCTTCTTGAAACAAAGGAGAGTTATATATATATATATATATATATATATATATATATATATATATATATATATATATATATATATATATATATTAATATATATATATATATATATATATATATATATATATATCCTAATATATAAATCCCCACGTTCGCACATCTCTCTCTCTCTCTCTCTCTCTCTCTGTCTGTCCGCAAAAAATTTTCGCCGGACATCACGTCAGAATCGGCAGCGATATATGAAGAACTTTTTACGGACTTTTGTTGAAAATAATATGTTAGATGTTTTAAATGTATAACCACAATTTTAGTTAAAGAAGAAAAATAAAAATTAAAGGCGTATTCGAATGTAGAGAAACAGTATTATTTATGCAACCGGAAAAGCATTAATATATGTGAAAAAGAACGCATAAAACTGTGACGTCACTATTGCTTATACATTAACTAATGACGTCATCTGCCGTGTTTAGAATGAAAAGAAATGAACTATTTCATTCAAATTTGATTTAGATCTACGTACACTATGAAATGTATACAATACAATTTTTCCGGCCTATACTCATAAAATTTATTTTATGTATTTGGATTCTAGATCTAGAGATTCTAGATCTAGACTAAATCTAAATCTACGCAATAACTAGTTCTAGACGTAGACGCTAAGATCTAGATTTAGACTCTAACTTCTCTAAAATCAATTCCAAAAATAAATTTCTATATTAGGACTAAACTATTTCAAGACTTATTTATTTTATTCAAAATCTTTGTTTGGAACTGGCTAATTTGGGATAAAAAAAATTAATTTGAAAGAATAGGCATATTCGCGTAAGTTAAGATTTTAAAATACGTGTTTCATTCTCCGCAATTAGGTGCCTAAATAGCGAAGATGTTAGTGTACATTAAACCATGCAGGTGGTGCGGGTTCGAGACACACCAAGTCAACTTGGTTAAGGTTTTTTTTTTATTATGCTCGGGCTAAACTTTAAAAAAAATGTCCGATAGGGCACTTCCCGGCGCCGCAGGCGCTTCAAATTTGGCAGGATCTTGCCTTGGGGCGACAGAACACGGGGGCCGGTTGGCCGAAAAGTCTACGATGAGGGGGTCAAAACTGACCTCGACTGACCGGTGCCTTATATGAGCTATAAATCGAAAAAAAATGTCCACGGAGGAACCTCTTCATAACTCTTGAGGTCGTAGACCGACCCTCGGGCGAATTAATTAAGCATGCAAATTCTCAATGTTTTCGAAAGCCTAAGCGAAGCTGGGCAGCATGCCTAGTATATATATATACATCCTAATGGAAAGTTTCAAAGTTAGAAAACTTTTGTGTATATTTTCACAATCAGCTTGACAAAAGTGTGTCGCAGATAATGTGGGGTACAAAAAACACAAACTCGTTTCCAGCATTAAGATGGATAGACCGGGAACAAAACCAACTTGTACCAGCTTTTGAAAATAGACAAGTGACTTGATTTAAACTTCTCTCACTTCCCCCCCCCCCCCCCCCCATCCCCTCTCCCTACCGATTCAGTTGTTTTATTTATTCTCGCAAAAATGTGTGTATTTTATAACATTCGAGGGCTTTAAAAATTATGTTTTATATTTTCGATTTCTGGGAAAAAAAACTGCTGAAATCACACTTAGGCGGTTAGACTCACAAACTACTCGGAGAACAACGGTCTGCTAATAGAAATATAAAAACTGCTGGCACGACATTAACTGGCGGATAGACTCACAAGCTACTCGGACTCCTACGCTCTGCGAATAGGCGCACAAAAACAATCCACAAATTAACATAGTCCCTCATCCATGTAGCAGCTGTTACAATACGTATGCCGCCAGCCCCCCACACTTTACGTTTTGTGTCATGTTGTTCTCTGATGTTGTATCAGTATTCTGGTCTGCCCGCACATTGTGTGTGTGATGCAACTTCCTGGTCTCTGTGTGTGTGTGGGGGGGGGGGGGGGAGGGATCTCACGCATGCCTTGTGTGTCCCTTACCCAGCAGGGCTGAAGCGAGCTAAGATGTAAAAATAATTCCCCCCCCCCCTCTTCCCCAAAACGTGGTACTATATAATGGACCTTAGAATTTTCATACATCTATCGAAATGTAGACATCAAGAGCCCCCCCCCCCCCCCTCTACTCAATTTCTAGAGATACATACATATATGTGTTGAGCTCAGAGTTTCTTTCAGGCATCTCTTCGGGGGGGGGGGAACTCCGCCCCACCCCCTTTCCCTCAAAAAAATCTACCCCCTCCCCCCCCCCGAACGAAATGGAATTTATATAGTAAATATATAGGCCTACTTTTACCAGTGTTCGCTGGTTTAGTCCGCGCCCCCGAAAATATCAAGTCCCCCCCCCCCCCCCGGATAAAAAAAAGTCTAAAAGAAACAAGAAACACTGGTTGAGGTTTAGTTTTATTAAACCTTCATGAATGAAAAGTGGAAAAATGTTTCTAACGTGACATACTCCACTACTCTAAACCTCCCGTCCGTTCATTGGTCCACTAATCTCAACCGGACATGATCGACCGTCCACTGATTTAGCGGTGTCACAGGTCAGCTGTAGTATAAACCAACCCTCGTATTCGCTCCGTTATCTTTACATCAATAACGACGAGTCACTCAGTCATGTAATGTATTAATGTAACAAATGTCCATTTCATCTACACAAATGATGCCATATAATAATAAACCATAGTTCTTTATTACTCTTATATTTTCTTATATCAATGGGTAGTGTTTCGTTAGTCTTACCCACATACATTTTTGAACATCTTTAACAGTACCATTAACAACTTAAATCCAAACATCTAAAAAGTAGGCTAAAGAGTAATTATGTGTTGTATGCAGGGGCGTAGCGAGGGGGGAGGGGCGGGGGGTGCGGACCGCACCGGGTGACACCATTTAGGGGGGTGACACCAAGGCAAAAAAAAAGCAAAATATATAGAGAAAAACTTGAGGGGAAAAGGGGGGGGGGGGGCTCAAATCGAAAGTTTGAGAGGGGGGGGGGGGGGGGCAAATCGAAAATTTGAAAGTTTGTCCACGGGAAGGGTCGCTACGCCTCTGGGGGGGTGACATCATTAAGTGCCGCACCGAGTGACACCCGACCTCGCTACGCCACTGGTTGTATGTTCTATGGATTCATCATCTCCTCTTCTTTTCACGTTCGTGCCAAAGACACATGGGGCAGATGAAGTAGAGTTCATCTGTTTCAATGACCTAGACATACAAAATGATATTGCGGACATCACTAAGCTTAGCCAGCATGCTTCCCTAACGTAAGTCAGGTACCCGTTAGAGCTAGGTAGATTAAAGGTTCCGAACACGCGACTTTCAGGCTAGTAGTCGTAAGTTGCGCCACCCAACCACACCATCTTCCGCTCCATGGAATGTTAAGTCTGAAATGGGAACTTTACATATTTTTAAAAAACTATATAGATCGTATGTTAAGAAAATTAACTACTCACGTTTCAATGTGTAGCTAGTGTGCTGAGTATAACAAGTACACACATTTACACTGGTGGTGTGTAGGGTCAAACGATTAGGTTAGGTTTGCCTGTCGCCCCCTTCTGTGACATAGGTGTCTTCCTCCAGGTCACGTCTCCAGGTCTTTCTTGGTCTGCCTCTCCTCCTCCTGCCTTGTGGATTCCAGGTGAGGGCTTGTCTTGTTATGCTGTATACAGGCTTCCTGAATGGGGCCAATCCATTTCCATTTTCTCAGGAGAATCTCTACTTCAACTGGCAGTTGATTTGTCCGTTGCCATAGAACATAATTTCTGATGGTTTTAGGCCAGCGAATTCGGAGGATCTTTCTAAGGCATGAGTTTATAAATGATTGTATTTTCTTCTTATTTATAGCAGTTATTCTCAATGTCTCAGCTCCTTAAAGTAAAACAGGCTTTACTAGTGTGTTGAAGATCCTGATTTTTATTCCAAGGGTTAAATCTCCAGAACCCCAAACATGTTTTAGTTGGTTGAAGACTGCTCTTGCCTTGCCCGTCCTTATTTTTATGTCTGCTTGTCAAACGATTACACATGATAAAACGTGTTGTTTTTGTGTGTGTTCCAACAGGTTTGAAACAGCTGCTAAGGAGGAAGATCAGCGCTAAGCTGCATCACATGGACCTGGAGCAGAGTGACCCGGAGTTTGTCGTCACGGTCATGGCCATACCCACAGGTGAGTTTTTGTTTATAATCACAGGTAGGCGGCATCGTTGTATACACACACACATACACGGCATCATTGTAAACACACACAAACACGGCATCATTGTATACACACACAGTATCAATGTACACACACACACACGGTATCATTATACACACGGTATCATTATACACATACGGTATCAATGTACACACACACACGGTATCATTGTATACATACACGATGTATAAACTATTACCTACAGATAACCGGCGTCGTTGTATATGCACACAAGATGTTAAAACCTACAGGTAGACGCGTCAGTGTATACAGACATACCATGTATAAACTAATACATACATATGTCCATAATCATTGTATACACGCACGATGTATACGTTAATACCTACAGTATCGGGCTTTATTGTATACAGACACTCGATGTATATTTCAAGACGCATCATTGCATAAATACACACACGCACAGGATGTATACGTTAATACCTACCGATAACCGGCGTCATTATACACACACACACGCATACACACGCGACGTGTTTATTGTATACACACACGGTGTATACGTTAATACCTACAGGTATCCGGCATCAATGTGTATTCACATTTGATGTATAGGTCAAAACCCACAGGTGCTTTTTAAGGAAACACTCCCAGACGAGATTCTGATTCTATAATGCACGAGTGTGTTGCTCGGCGCACTGCTCGCCCTAATGTAGTCCTTTAAGCAGACGTGTATATGCTTTCTAGTGACACTACCATTTCCCCCTCCCGCCACTAATTAGCCAGGATGGCCTCGACTAGACAAACTAAGGTTAACTGACTTAGCGAGAAAAAAACTCTCGAAGCCACCAATAGATTTCTGCTGTTCAAAATAATTCTGACTGAGGTCCAGTGACGTCATCATGTCATCTTATGAATGAGTGGGGGGGGGGGGGGGAGGGGGGATAGGTAAAGCAAATAAACAATCCAATCGATCTCTCACGTTTTACGACACTGTTAACAACATTTTCCGCGACATTTAGTGCTATTGTTCCAACCAAGTATGGCTCGTAGACAGGCCCTTCTAACTGGAAACAAATAAACCCTAATCCTAACTCAATGTCCACGCCATGGAGTCTTAGAATTCATAAGAATTCTAGGATTAGCTGGCGCGCAAGTATGATTGATAACCTTAAAGGATATTCGAGAACAAATAAAATAAGTTTAATCCTGTGGATTATTTGCTAATGTTTAAAGATTAACAAGTCTTAATTACGTCACAGCATTACAGAACGATAGAGGCTCGATAATATTGCTGATTCAGCATGATTTACTCGTTGAGTTGAATTTTTTCATAAATGAAAAAATTGTTAAGGAGGCTTAAAATTCTTGCAGCTTTAAGTTCTGATTTTCATTTTGTGTTAATTGCATTAAGGTGTTAAAATAATACACGATTTATGCTGTTCGGTTTAAAAATCCTATGATATTAGTTCATGAAACAAGAAATTTGTTTGAAATATTTTTAGTTCAGTTAAAAGTAAATGCAATTCGTAACCTACGAAAGTTTAGCTCTGCGCATATTGTTATAGTTTTTCAACTCACGAGCAGTTCAAAAACAGTAAGTGAACGACACAAAACAACAAGGAACAAACGAATTGAGCTCAGCATTGCACTTCGTTATTAATTATTGAAAACATTGTGTAAAAAAGTAACTACCTACTAAGGTCAAGTACTTATCGTTTAGGGATAGACTAGCCCACCGTTCTACCGGCGAAAATCCCGGTGGACCCTCAGGAAAAAATCTTGAATAGTCCCCAGGAGCTGTACTGTAATAGTCCTATTAGTATTTAGATTTTTAAAAAATGATTTGTTGGTATTTCACTATTTTATCATTTCCATTAATTTATATCAAAACTTAAAATTCAGTCTCTGATGGAGAAAAAATGGAACAATGAAAATTTAAATCTGGGGTTAATGGGGCCGTTTTAAATTTTTTCTGGCCTATTGGGAACGACCGGTCCTCCCTTGATTACAGTTAAATCTTCAAATAAAAAACTATACCACTGAAAGGAAAGCAGACAGGAACAAAATAAACTTTATTAATAGTTCAATTATGTTATTGCATTTAAAACTTATTTTTTTTTCCTTCTAGCGAACATACAAAAATGTTATTTTTGTTTCCCTTCAGACACCAAATATTGCACAAGTATTTCTCCAGCTAGCGAACACGAATGTGATAAATATCATTTTGTTGAATCAGAAGTACATTTTCCACTTTTTCAGCCAGCGAACTTGAAATAAATGTCATTATGTTGAACCAATAGTACATTTTACATACACATTCCATTTTTCCAGCTAGCGAGCATGAAATAAATAATTATTTTGTTGGACCAGTCTTCAAAAGTTCCGTATGCATGAGTAAGTAACGATTACCCACACAGAAAAATAAAACCCTCGCATATAAAACCCTCGCTTTCAAAACCTTTTTATTTCTTTTTGTTTGTGATATTTTAATTGGTTTAAAAAAATGTATTTTATTTCAAGGTTTTTCATATTGAACGCATTTTTTAAATAATAAAGGCATTTTTATTATCTTGATTTAAATATTGATAAACACAAGCTATTTGTGGACTTTGAAAACGATTTCGATAGCATGCAGTCAAAATGAAATACCTTTCAGACTCAGTACTAGCTTGCGACTGCACAAACTACCAGACTATACTAAGAAAAGGAGTGAAGCAAATGTGTATATCACGATAGGGGTGTAGAACTTATGATGCGAAGGTTATTACCCCTAAGATAAATAAACACTGGAAGCGAGTGGACCCTTACAACACTTTGCTAGCATGCACAGGTCATCTAGAGTACACCATGAAGACTAGGACTAACTGAAAGAAGAACGAAGATGAAGAAGATGAGAGCTTAGATTGAAGAAAAAAGATGACAGGGGACATTTAAAGATCAGCTTGAAGAAAGATGACTGGTCGATAAAATAATAATATTTTAAACAAGAAAAAGGACAGGAGCAATAAAAGATAAGATGAAAAAAGAAATATGACGTAGGAAATGAAAGATTTATTTGAAGGAAGATGAAGACTGACTCGATGAAATAATATCTTATAGAAGGAAAAGGACAAGAACAATACAAGATTACTTGTAAGAAGAAATATGTCGGATAAGATATAAAATTAGCGGAAGAAGAAAGAAGATGTCGACAATAAAAGACAAAAACATTTTTTATAATCGGCCCCTTATATTTTTAAAAATCCCTTTATTTTTATTTCACAAAAAAAATGAGGTGTTTTATTTTAAATTAATATTCATCAATCCTGTACACCTTTTTTTTTTATTTTCAAACCTTTCAAAAAATGACTTTGTTTTACAGTTTCCTCATGTGTAATTAACTGGTTGTTATATTGTTGACCCTTTGATTTTATTTTCATTCTTTTACATGTACACGTCAGATAGTAGCAATACTGTTAGGGGTCCTCCATTTATGGCGTCTTAAAAAATCTAGGTGACCATTTTCTTTTGTATTTACGTTGTCCACAAAAGGCTTCCTGACTGTGAACACGTCGTTAGTAAAATGCCATTTATAGATTTAATGTTCAACTCAAACATGTCTGTTATCCTATATTACAAAAGTCTGCCATTGACAAATTTGTCTCAGTATATTATAAAATTTAACATGTTTACAAAAAATAGAAGAGCAAAATAAATTTAAAGATATCTAAATCGTATTATCAGGTACGGGGTGGTCTAGTTATTAGCACGGGCTTGAAAACCCCAAAAGTCCTAACCAATCCTCGGCATGGTCGTGTCGGTTAAGCTCACGGTTTCTAAACCGAAAAGTCTCCAATTCGAACCCTCGTGCAGATGAGGCTCGTTAGCTGGGGACAGCCACTCTTCTAGGAGAGACAACTCCAAAATCAAACAAGTGCTGCGTTGTAGTTTTTTCTTGGTTGGGCAAAGACTTCGAAAGCAAATTCAGAAAAAAAGCAGGCTGAAATCGCAGTCAACAGCCTATATGGCGCATAACCAGTTGACACGTAATACTTAATTGTGTTGGAGGGAATCCCTTCCAACATTAAAAAATTAAGAAGGAAGAAGAAGAAAAGACAATCGATCCTACCTAAATATTAATGTAAAATGGTGAGAAAACATGGTATATTATGCATATTGTTTAGGTATGTTAAAAATCATACGCATTAGTTGTCACTAATTAAACCCATATTAAACACATCGCTATTTAATATTTTGAACTGTGCCCCCACCTACATGTTTGGCTTTTGTTTTTAAACAGATGTTTACGGACATCATGTTAATTAACTCTGCCCCAATTACTACAATCAGTTTAATGAACTTTGAGATACAATCACTGCCATTATTTTTATTACCTCTCACCCAATTACTGCCATTATTTTAATAATCTTTTATATTACTATTACCCTTATTTTATTTTTTAATGAACTGTGATTCTAAGACTGCCATTTTTTAAAAGAATGAACCCTGACCTTACAAGCACTATAGTGTTTCAAACTTTGACTTTGTTATTTTGATACATAAAATAACCTCTACACCCTCCCTCCTTTACAGTGCAAACATTCAGCAGCGTGAAAAAGAAACTCCGGAAATCCAACCAGGAATGGATGCAAGGGTTCCTGGATCACGAGGGCCTGGAGCGGCTCCTGGATTGCGTGGATAACTTCGCCAGCCGCAGGGTGACCGCCCTCTCGGACGCCCTCATCCTCATCGAGTGCGTGGAGTGCATCAAGGCGGTTCTCAACTCCAAGATTGGCCTGTCCCTGCTGGTCCAGAAACCGGAGTACATCCGCAGGCTCATCAAAGGTAGGTGGTGTTGACACCTGTAGGCGGACTAGAGTTTCTTTCAGGTATCTCTTCGAGCCCCCTCCCCCAACCCCAAACTTACAAGCACGTTCACTACCACTCCCCCACCCTGACGAAATAGAAAACATATATAACATATTTAGAAAATATATTCATTAACCAGTGTTCACTTGCCACGCCCCCCCCCCCCTCTTTCGAAAATTTAGACCCCAACACACCCACGAAGAAAAATACCTGAATGAAACTCATCTGCTCTATCAGTAACAAATTCTTCACTTATAATTTTAAATTAGATGATATCTTCACTTAGGGGTCATCCATAAATGACGTCATTCTTTTTTGACGATTTTTACCTCCCCTCCCCCCCCCCCCCGTCACACATCGTCACTAAAAGCCAGACCCCCCCCTAAATGACGTCACACCTCAGCCTACAACCCCCCCCCCCCCCCCCTCAAAATTGCAGTTGAATTTTTTTATAAAACATCGATATTTTTCCAAATTCTTCCCTGAACTCAGTCAAAACAGACTATTTTAATCAATTTCTGTTACAATTTATTAAAACAGTTCTCTAAAACGCGAAAAGACGTCTAAAATTCGATTTCTAACATTGCTTTTTTATAATGCAAAAGTGTGACGTCGCACCATCTGAACCCCCCCCCCCCCCCCCCCCTCCCCCTCCCCCTCATCACACATCGTCATTTATGGACGACCCCTTATCTCTAACAAAATCAGCATTTATCTGTAACAATATCTTCACTTATCTGTAACATTATCTTAAACTTCGTATTCAAATATCTGGACTAACTTATGTGAAACAAAATCTCCACTTATCCGAAACAATATTTCCACCTCTCAAAAACACCTTCATTAAATCTTCAACATTATTTTTGAATCATCAGTACATAATTTTATTACATACTTCGCCTGTAAAAAAATCTTCACTTTTCTAAAACAATGTTTGAACAAATATGACCCATTCTCTATCTAATAATCTTAAATGTACGGTAAAATTCTATTTATTTGCTAACCATCATTTATTATGGAACATCAGAAGAGCAAGTTGTTGATGGTTGTACTATACAATTACATCTGTGATTCTTTTGGTTAAACTTAGGCCAAACCCATTTTTTTAAGCCATACATCGTTTATCTTCACGTGACCTTTCAAGCATTCATTAACAACTAATTATGTTAATTAGGACATACTCTTTATAAAATCAACTGCTCTCATTCATAGTAATGTAATTGTTACATCAAAAAACATCATAATTCTACACTTCCTTTATGTGTCTTTTACATAACCCTATCTTATCTAGGTGGGGTAAAAAAATAGGTACGCCCCTGTAAGGCGAAATATAAACGTGTGGTTAGGATAATGATTATACCAAACCGATTATCAGTTAGCCACACTACTGTGGCATCGCGTTTGAATTATAAAAATTATAATATTTAACAACATCTGTTTTGATTTAATTCGCCGCATGCTGCAATAGCAACATCATGACTTTTTCGCCTCATTCAATAACACAGACGACCCCCCCCCCCACACACACACACACACAGGATTTTGTGAAAACAAATAGGCGCGCCTATCACGCACCAATCAAGCACCAGTCATGAACGCGCCGCGCAATAATTAGCAAACAAAATAAATCAGGAATACAGGAGTCTGTGTGATGATGATAAAATAACAAAAACAACTCGCCACACCTTTGCCGCATTAAGTCCTGACCGGGGGGTGGGGTGGGGGGGGGGGGGTGCCATACGACTTGCAGATGTCACGCGAATTGGAAGGTGGGTGGGGAGGGGGAGGATAAATGTTGGTTTATTGAGCTTATATCAATTTATTTGGCGGAGCCAGTGGCTGTTGGAAATGTGAAAAAATATATATATATATATAAAAACACCCCCCTCCGAAATACACACTGAAACAATCCCGACAAAGTTTAGATACTGGGTTTAACCGTGTTGGTAGTTAAAGTAACGTAAAGTATACAAGTACAGTGTTGGTGTATTTTTAGGTAATCGGGGTGTGGTAGAGCTTCTTTATAGCTTTTATCTTGATGCCCTTCGTGTCCGTACGTCTGTTAGTGTATGTCTGTGTTTCTGTCTGTCTGTGTGTGTGTTTATGTAGGTGTATATATCTGCCTACTTGCCTGCCTGCCTGTCTGACTAAACGTCTGTCTGTCCGTCCATCTGCAGCGCCTTGCTGTCCCCTCTCTTCCTCTCTATCACTACCACCCCCCACATGGTCTGGTGAGCGGTGGTTCACTCTAAATGTTTACAATCATAGAGGCGGGTTTAGTGACGGCTATTAAGGGCAGATAATTTAGTTTGAAACGATTTTAAACTTAGAGGAGGTAAGTAAGAGGAGGCTGATTTCACGGGGGGTGGGGGGGGGGGCTATAGGGAAGGGGTTGGGGGAAAGGGGTGGGGGTAGTGTTTTAAAGCAAATATTTTCAGTGGCAGCATTGGTACTGTCGAATTCACAAATTATGAATTCTGAAAAGTAGAAAATAAAACTAAATAGCGACGTATGATACGCCGCGGGTCGGCTCGTATTTTATAAAGTCGTCCTTTTCCCCAGCACCACGGTGTTGCTATATAAAAAAAAAAAGAGCAACGCGATTATTTATTACAAGCCTAAAATCATATCAATATTTTTTTAACATTATACAGCCGTCCAAAGAACCTTGACCTTCCCCAAGAGCCTTGACCTTTCCCGTCCAATAAGGCAAACATCCATTCGTCTTATTGGGGGCAGCTCCCGTGGCAGATCTTGTACATAGTGACACGCAGCTCTCGTTAAATTTTGATCACCCTCCTCTCTCTCTTTCCTGTTACAGTATGTCACAGCATGACAGACCCCCCCCCTGATACTCTCCCTACCCCACCTACCTACCCACAGAATTTTGGGGGAAGAAACTTAGGTTTTTTAAAAAAATAATAAAGGTAGTACAAAAAGTTGTCTCACATTCATCATCATCTTTTTCCGTTTGTATCCTAGACACACGTGGCAGATGAAGTAGAGTTCATCTGTTTCAATGACCTCGACAAATAAGGGGATAATGTTAACAGCACTATGCCCAGCCGTCTTTGTTTCCCTAACCTAAGTTAGGTACCCATCAGAGCTGAGTGACTCAGGGAGGTTCTACTGTTTTTGAACCCGGATTCGAACTTGAGGCTAGCATTCTACCACTAGGTCATGCCGTTCCCTGGTCTTACATTGCCTACTCTATATTTTAAAAAGTGCAAACATGAGTGACGTCACATTTTTAAAAGTCATCACAACACCTGTTACAGCCCCCCCCCCCTCTCCCACCCTAAACCCCATGACGTAGTCCACAAAGATTAGCCATCTGCCCACGAGCCTAAAGAACACACGTACTTCCCTTTTAACTCTAATCCAAACACTCTGTTTTCAGTCGCTGTCTCCTATTTTGCTCGCAATCTGATTTGCATCTGTTAAATACTCGTGAATAATTTGGTTATTTGGTTTGCTGAAAAAGCAAATAGTTACAGTGTGTACATTAAGACCAGTGGTTCTAAACTTTTGAAACTTGTGGGGTCTTGTCTTTTGAACTCAAAACACAAGAAAACAATGCATCTTTTTAAAATTTTATTAATTCATTATTAACATTTTAAACAACAAACAGGTTTATGTTGAATTTTTTATAAAATATATGTATAGCACAAATTTTTACACGTTCAGATTAAAAAAAAAAATGAAGATAATCCCAGAACCCTTGAAGGGCAACACGACACACTAATGTGATTTATTGTGTAGATCGCGGCATGTGAAGGGATAGACAGGCCAGCATATGCTTAGCTTAGCTGTCCATTTTTCAATGCAAACTAATGCTGGGTACCCTTTAGAGCTGAGTGGATAAAATGAAATCATCAAAAGTTGGATTTGAACGTAATCCCCTCACGTTAACTCCTCCCTCTCAATCCACCGTGTTGGTTGAAAAACTGAATGGTATTTGAATATTTTACATATGGTAAAACTTATTTTTTTTCATATAGAGAGTATTACTCTCTTCTCTCTCTCTCTCTCTCTCTCTCTCTCTCTCTCTCTCTCTCTCTCTCTCTCTCTCTCTACGGAAACCGGCTCAGAAGGTTGACTTCCATTAGCCAGGCAAGCCTCAGTGTGACAAACTCCGACCACAAGAGTTTCCCACACATCGGTCGCTACTTCCGTCGGCTCTCACCGGGCTTTCCTTCCCCACCCACCAGACGCGGGACGTCTTCCTACGGCCTGGTACCCAGCTTGATCGAGGGGGGCTTTCGGCCAGATCAAAAACCTCTAGCTGCTGTTGGCTACCACTAGCCATTCCGCACCCATTAGGGGGGGGGGGGGTCATGAGCTTGGTCCGACTAGTGGCTTTCTTCCGAAGCCACGTGAAGGCCGCAGCTTAAAGTCAAAATATCTGGTTAGGGTCGAGAGCAAACCCTTCTTGGTTCCCGGCAGTCTTGTACCTCTCCTCCCCCACGCTATAATGTGGGGGACTTGGGAGTCCGACTTACCAGGCTCTTCGGAAGAGAGTATTACTATACAGCAGTGGTTTCCAAACTTTTTTGAGTGGCGACCCCTTTTATAAAAAGTAAGTGACGCTCGACCCCCATAGAATTAAAAAGTCGAAATTAGTACGGAAATTAATAAGCACTAAAATAAGATTTTCTAGTAGACTTTCAATATGAATTATTCTTGAAACTGTTTTAATACGATGAGTAAAATTACATTCTAGTATCTAGCCTCTAAATTCGATGCTGAGTTTTCGTTAACGCCAACCTCATATCAATCTCAACATTTAATTAATTTATTTGTTTTGTTTTTAATTGTAGAAGTGTTGAAAATCCATTCTCGCAAAGATATGTAGACACAAAAGATACTAAACCTCAATGGGTATGAATTGTGTGAGCAGTTTATCATCTGACGCGGAATTATTCCGCGAATTTAACAATTCATCTTGTAATTTATTCGGAATGCTGGCAACATCG